AAAAAAAAAAAACAAAAAAAAATAAATGCAAACAGTGTAACCTAATTCTTGGCATCCTCAAATTAATCTAAAATTAAGAAAATAAAATACTTGGTTAAAGCTCTATCATTCCTCCTTAAGAGAAGAATCAAGTGTGGGTTTAATTGTCAGCTTTTCATTTGTCATCTAGCATGTCATCCCCAGGGAGGTCTGTCTGGAACCAAAAGGGATGATGAGCGTAACTCCTTTGTGATACAATACGCAGCAAATAACATCCAGGGGCATAGTGAGAATGGAAATTCTTTCTGACTCTTCTTATTTTGAAATGTAGACTCTTGAGCTCTGGAGGAAATTGGTATCGACCACTAAATAGTCATGCTACTTTGCTAGACAAATACTGGACCAAAATTCACCTGGATGACCTGGATAAAACAGAACTGAATGAAGTAAGTGGACATTGGGAAGTTATCAGCATATTTTCTCTTGACTTTCTGTTATGAAAAGTTCCATACTTCATGAAGATAGAGGAAATGGTAAAATGAACCACCAAAATTTTCATCAACCTAAATTTAACACCATATATGCTAATATTTACTGTCTGTGTCATCTGTTTTTTTGTTAATCTATTTGAATGCAGACCCCTTAACATTTCACTTTTAAATACTTCAGCATGCATCTCTAGAAGTTAAAATACATTTTCATACATAACCATAATAATTTATTATACCCAATAAAATGAATAGTAATTCCTCCATGTCATTTATGACATACGATTATGTTTAATTTCTCAATTGTCCTCGTGCTCTGTTCTCTAAAATTCCTTGATGTCATTTATGACATATGATTATGTCTAACTTTCTCAGCTGTCCCGGGCTCTGTTCACTAAGTTGATCTGTAGCTAACATCTCCCACCCTCAGTGCACTCACTCACCAGATGTTTTCATCTGGGAATTAGTGAGAATTGAGGTGAAGTGTTTATAGATTTTAGACATTGACTGAGTCTGTAGTGTTGCTGGTTACCGTCAGTTATTATGAGGTATAACTTCACGTACAGTGAGCATCCCCACTTCCCTTTGTGGGTGTCCTCCTCCTCGCCTGGTGGTCCCCACTCCCTAGCACTCATCTGGGGAGCAGCAGGTACAGCACCGTCACTGGTCATTCTGACACAGAGGAACGTTTTGCTCTTTCTTGGTCTAAGTTTGTAGATAAATATGATACACAGGAAAAACAGTATTTTTTTTCTTTTTTTTTTTATAGAGATAGAGTCTAACTTTATCGCCCTCAGTAGAGTGCTGTGGAGTCTCACAGCTCACAGCAACCTAGGCTTAAGAGGGAAAAACAGTATTTTAAGGGCATCTGTCTAGTTCCCCCTATTAGTGCAAAAAGGTTGATCATATCTCTAAGAAGCCTTTCCTTGGCCTTTTTTTTTTTTTTTGACACAAGAGTCTCACTATGTCGCCCTGGGTAGAGTGCTGTAGTGTCACAGCTCACAGCAACTTCAAACTCTTGGGCTTAAGTGATTCTCTTGCCTCAGCCTCCCAAGTAGCTGGGAGGTGCCCAGGTGCACCACAACGTAAGGCTATTTTTCTTTTGTTATTGTTGTTGTTGCAGTTTTCGTTGTTTAGCTGACTTGACCAGGTTCAAACCCTCCAGTCTTGGTGTATGTGGTCGGCGCCCTACCCACTGAGCTATGGGTGCTGCCCCTCCCGCCCTTTTCTAATAGACGGTCTACTCACAGCAACCTCAAACTCATGGGCTTGAATAATCCTCTTTCCTTAGTCTCCTAAATAACTGGAACTACAGGCACCCCCCATAATGCCCAGCTAGTTTCTCTATTTTTAATAGAAATGAGGTCTCACTCTTGCATATGCTGGTCTCGAACCCCTGAGCTCTAGTGGTCCATCTGTCACAGTTTCCCAGATTATAGTCATGAGCCACTGCATCTGGCTCTGTGATACGATTTTTTATAAGTCTGCATACAGCCTGTTTTTTTTTTTTGCAGTTTTTTGCCGGGGCCAGGTTTGAACCCGCCACCTCCAGTTTATAGGGCCGTTGCCCTACTCCTTGAGCCACAGGTGCCGCCCCATACAGCCTGTTTTTTAGCTGTGAATTTACTGTCTTTAAATTGTAGTTGTGTATTTTTGTGTCTGATGGGCCTCCCCCCTTCTGCTCCCCATGTGTACGTTCCTCTAGTGACTCCCTAATCTTTGCATCAGAGGCATCAACCCTGTGCTTGCCATGTAGTAATCCTATGTTACGTGGCTCTGTCATAATGCAGCCTTTTCTTTTGCAATTATAGGCTTTTTTTTTTTTTTTTTTTGCAGTTTTTGGCTGGGGCTGGGTTTGAACCCACCACCTCTGGCCTATGGGGCCAGCACCCTACTCCTTTGAGCCACAAGCGCCACCCAATTATAGGCATTTAAATGTGTAGGTCTTAGACTTATATTTATTAATACTAGTTCTCTGAAAGGAGAGGATTGAAGGTCACGTATAGGTGTGACTTATTGGGGATGGAGATGATGCAGAGCAGAGGACAGCAGCTCCTCTTGTCTTAGTTGTTGTGTTCTGTACTGGAAGTAAAGGCCAGACTCATCTTCCCATTCCTGGCATGAGCAGCAGTGAGTTATTCTCACAGGAAGTGCAGCAGTCACTTTATGGATGTCATGTTTTGATACTCACCTTGAGAAACTTCCTTGTTTTTATTTATTTATTTATTTATTTTTGAGACAGAATCTTACTATATCACCCTTGGTAGAGTGCTGTGGCGTCACAGCTCACAGCAACCTCAAGGTCTTTGGCTTAAGTGATTCTCTTGGTTCAACCTCTCACATAGCTGGGACTACAGGTGCTTGCCACAACACCTGTTTATTTTCTGTTCTTTTTTTTTTTGAGACAGAGCCTCAAGCTGTCCCCCTGGGTAGAGTGCCATGGCATTACAGCTCACAGCAACCTCCAACTCCTGGGCTCAAGCGAGTCTCCTGCCTCCGCCTCCCAAGTAGCTGGGACCACAGGCACCCGCCACAACGCCTGGCTATTTTTTGGTTGCAGCCGTCATTGTTGTTTGGCGGGTCCGGGCTGGGGATACGAACCCGCCACCTTAGGTGTACGTGGCTGACGCCTTAGCCAGTTGAGCTATAGGCGCCGAGCCTGTTTATTTTCTTATTACAGTTGTCATTATTGTTTAGCAGGCCTAGGCTGGGTTCAAACCCTTCAGCTTCAGTGCATGTGACTGGCACCGAGTCAGTCTCCCTTGTTATTTTTGAGGTTTTGGACTTACCCATCTTTTTCTCTCTTTTATTTTTATTTTTTGAGACAGTCTTTGTTGCCCTGGGTCAAGTGCCATGGTGTCATAATTCATAGCAACCTCAAACTCCTGGGTTCAGGCAAACCTCTTTTCTCAGCCTCCTGAGTAGCTGGGACTATAGGCGCCTGCCTCAGTGCCATGCTATTTTTAGAGACAGGATTTCGCTCTGGCTCAGGCTGGTCTGAGCTCAGCTTATCTAACTGCCTCAGCCTCTGGGAGTGCTAGGATTATAGGCGTAAGCCGCCACACCCAGCTTGGATTTACCAATCTGAATAATACTCTCTTTCATTATTACCCAGTGGCTAAAACCCTTGTACATGTTTCTTGGTAAATAAAATAGTCTGCTGTGTTGAATTCATGGAGAGCAAAAGGAGCTACATTTCTTTGGCCAACCCCACGTCTCTCAGGCCAGGAAAGATTGTTTAGTCTTCTTCAACTTCCTCCTGAAATAACAAACTATTTAAAAATAAGCACTTTACAGAGTTGTATTCTCATATCTATAGTAAGTGTCAGGAACTGCCCTTCTGGCATTTTTTCAAACCCCATGCATCTTGAGCATATCCAAGTGTCTCTGGAGTCTGTAGTTTTCTGAGGTCTCACACGACCTGCTTTCTCTGCTGATATTGCCCACTTGTAGCCATGGGTGACTCTGACTCTAACAGGCTCATTGCCTGCTCCCTGGAACTTTCTGGGATCTGCCAAGCAGGGTGTTGGTCTCCACGTTGTTGTCTGTGCTGCAAGTGGGATTTGCTTACATATCTGCTTCTCATACCAAATGCAGCTTGTTGAGGGTGGATGCCGTTCTTTATCTATTTTGCTTCCCCAGCCCTGGAGCAATGTCTAATAGAAAATAGGTACTTAATATATGCTTGTTAAAGGAATAAATTCCCAAAATACCTATCAAGTATATGGTAATAGAGCCTTTTCATGTCAGATTAGTTTAAGTGATAATGTGTTTAATTTTGACATTTATGATAATAATAAAAGATACTTTTTGGCTAAGAGAGAAAATGACTGCTCAGCAAGTACATAAAATTTTTTTCTTTTTCTTGTTTTTTTTTAGAGACAGAGTCTCACTTTATCACCCTTGGTAGAGTGCTGTGGCATCACACTGCTCAAAGCAACCTCCAACTTCTGGGCTTAGGCGATTCTCTTGCCTCAGCCTCCCGAGTAGCTGGGATTAAAGGCACCTGCCACAACACCTGGCTACTTTTTTGTTCCAGTTTGGCTGGGGCTGGGTTTGAACCCGCCACCGGGGCCCTACTGTGGCTGGTGCCCTACCCACTGAGCCACAGGGGCCAGCCCTAAAAATTTTTTCTATTGAGAACCCTTTTCTGAATAGCTGAGCTTTTGTTGACTTAGGGTTAAACTTGATATTTTTCCATGTAAAATGCAGTGCATGCTTATATACTAGAATTCCTACTCAGCAGTGGGAATAAGTGAGCTTTTGGTACATACACTAATGCCTAGAAGGATATTAAAGACAATCTGCAGCAAAGAAGCTTACATTGTACGTGATTCTCTGTATGTGAAAGGCAAGACATGAGGGTCGGAGTCAGGTTCATGGTTCCCAGGGCAAGGGTACAGGGAGTGTTTATTATAAACAGGACAGGGGAATAATGGAAATAGTCTATGTCTTATATGTGATGGCAGATATGTAATTCTGGGTTTTTTTTTTTTTGAGACAGTTTCTCAAAACTCTACATTTGAAATAGTGAGTTTTCTGGTATGTAAATAACTTAGTAAACATGATGTATAAAAAATAAAATTTTACTATTATTTATTTTTTTTTTGAGACAGAGCCTCAAGCTGTCGCCCTGGGTAGAGTGCTATGGCATCACTGCTCACAGCAACCTCCAACTCCTGGGCTCAAGCAAGTCTCTTTCCTCCACCTCCCAAGTAGCTAGGACGACAGGTGCCCACCACAGTGCTCGATTATTTTTTTGGTTGCAGCCATCATTGTTGTATGTCGGGCCTGGGCTGGATTCGAACCCGCCAGCTCAGGTGTATGTGGCTGGCGCCTTAGCCGCTTGAGCCACAGGCGCTGAGCCAAAAATAAAATAAAATTTTAAAGGCTTTCTTTATGCCTACATATATGACGAATTTGTAAATGTTCTCTCCATACCCACAAATGTACATACTGTATTTGAAAGATACATGAACTTGATTGCATTTGTTGATTTTATCATTGTCTTCTATTTATTTTTTACTATGTTTGAGATATGTGTTAAACAATATAGGTTGTAAAGTCCTTCAGTGACAGAAGTACAAAGAAATAAAATCTTGGCTGGGCGAAGTGGCTCACACCTGTAATCCTAGTACTCTGAGAGGCTGAGGTGGGTGAATTGCTTGAGCTCATGAGTTTGAAATGAGTCTGAGCAAAAGCGAGACCCTGTCTCTACTAAAAATAGAAAAACTGATGCAAAAGGATCACTTGAGCCCAAGAGTCGAGGTTGCTGTGAGCTATGACACCATGACACTCTACCCGTGGTGGTAGCATGAGACTATCTCAAAAAAAAAAAAAAACAGGCTCAGTGCCTGTGGCTCCAGTGGCTAAGGTGCCAGCCACATACACCTGAGCTGGTGGGTTCGAATCCAGCCCAGCCCGTCAAACAACAATGATGACTGCAACCAAAAACTAGCTGGGCATTGTGGGGGGTGCCTGTGGTCCCAGTTACTTGGGAGGCTGCGGCAGGAGACTCGCTTGAGCCCAGGAGTTGGAGGTTGCTGTGAGCTGTGCTGAATGCCACAGCACTCTACCCAGGGAGACAGCTTGAGGCTCTGTCTCAAAAAAAAAAAGAAATGAAATCTTAAAGATTTGCCACTTGCAGTGACATTCAAGGTTTTAGTTTCTTATCTTTTGCAAATATGTAAACATTACCTATACTATATATGTATATATACACACACAAAACGTATGACTGTTACATATACAGATTAGAATCCTATGTAGTTCTTTTTAGGCTAGTTTAATAGATGGTTGGTGTTTCTACTACATCCGTATTTCCCTATCTTCTCAAACAGACTTGAATTTAAAAAGTTTGTATTATAAAGCTGTGGAACCATTATTGTGAACATTTTGTATTACATTGCAGTAATTCGATAGATGTTGAAGTGAATAGGACTAGTCTTTTGCTTTTTAAATTTATTGCCTGGACATATGTGCTTCACTCCTGTAGTTCTAGAACTCTGGCAGGTTGAGGTGGGAGGATTGTTTGAGGTCAGGCATTCAATACCACCCTGAGCAAGAGCAAGTCTGAAAAAAAATTCTGTTGCCTACTTTTTAAAGATCAACTACTTATCCATGGTGGGCACCTGTAGTCCCACCTCGTTGGGAGGCTAAGGCAAGAGAATCACCTAAGCACAAGAATTGGAGGTTGCTGTGAGCTCTGATGCTACGACACTCTACTGAGGGTGACAAAGTGAGACTCTGTCTCTAAAAAAAAAAAATCATTATGCCTTCTGTTAAATTCTCTTTTTGTTTTTTTTCTTCTCTCAGATTCTTCAAAGCAGATATCCCAGCCTCTTGACAGTAGCTGAGCACCTGGTCAACATTTATATCCAGCTTACTGGAGAGAAGCATCACTCTCAGGATAATAGTTGGGTTGGGTGTCAACAGGCACCTGAAGAAGTTTCAGAAGCCAGGAGAGAGAGCAAAAGGCCAGTCCTTGAGGGAAGAGAATTGTCTCTAAGGTGCTGGACTCAACACTTTTTTGAGTTGAGATTTTAAAAATGGTTCTCTCAGAATTTTTTACCAGGTAGAAGTAAATGGTAATGAGAGGTCAGATTACTTCTAGGTTACTACACAGTGTCAGATCCCCTTTTCGGATCTGTACTTACTGATTAGAAAGCCTTGGTTAAAGTAATGTTATTTTGAGCTTTAAAAAAAATAACTTTTGGCTGGGTGTGGTAGCTCAGGCCTATAATCTCAGAGTGGGGCAAGTTGTGAGGATCGGTTGAGGTCAGGAGTTTGAGACCAGCCTGAGCAGCATAGAAAGACCACCCCCCACCCCCAGCTCAACAAAAAAACAAAATAAAAAAAATTAGGTGGGCATGGGGGAGGTGCTTAGGAGGTTGAGATGGGAAAATCACTTGAACCCAGGAATTTGAGGTTGTAGTGAGCTGTAGTGACACCACTGCACTTCAGCCTGGGTAACAGAGCAAGACCCTATTGCTAAAAAAATATAAATAGCTGGGTGGGGTTGTTCACACCTGTATTCCTCCCACTCTGTGAGGCTAAGGCTTGTGTATTGCCTGAGCTCAAGAGTTTGAGACCATCATGAGCAAAAGGGAGACCCTGTCTCTACTAAAAATAGAAAAACTAGGCTTGGCACCTATAGCTCAACCGGCTAAGGCGCCAGCCACGTACACCTAAGGTGGCGGGTTCGAATCCCCAGCCCGGACCCACCAAACAATGATGGCTGCAATCAAAAAATAGCCAGGCGTTGTGGCGGGCGCCTGTGGTCCCAGCTACTTGGGAGG